TATGAAAATCGATAACAATTTAATTTCATAAATTAATAAGCCTTTTTGTGAATCTTTCAATGGATAGGCCCTTTTTGTTAAGCTGTTGTGCTTATCATCAGAAATAGTACGCCCTTTGCTAAGCCTTTTCGCAGTGTCAAATAAATTCAAAACCAATCATCGGCCCTGCCTCAAGCAGTAGGGCATAGCTTTGGTTTGAAAATTTTCAATCATCGGCCCTTCTACGTCACTAGGCTTATCAATGAATTGAAATACATAAATGAATGGTTGACCGTTTTAGCTTGCGAGCCTATTAATGAATTGAAAAATTTCGTTGATCGGCCGTTTCGAAAATCGAGTTATTTTTAATGATTTTTTCTCGATTATGCGAGATTACACGATTAGTAGTTATCAGCCGGTGCTAAATTACGGTATCAAACCCCGATTTGTTTACGTTTTGGACATAGGCCCATTTCAAATGTTATTCGAGATATGTCTATTTAATGGATTTGGTACAATATCTTTAAAATTAAGCGTCAGAACATAGTTCTGGTTCAGAGATAAGATTCTGGTCAAAGTTTCAAGTTTTGAAGAATTACGTTTTAAAAAATATAAAAACTACTACTTTTCATGATGAAAAAAACCCATATTTCAGGGCAAATAACCGATTTTTGTACCTTTAAATCTAAAAAAAATCAGTATTCTGAAAACCAAGACCGCTGCGATTTTGACATCTTGGGCATATTATATGTTTGACTAATAATGAACTTTGTCAATGACACCAACTCTCCCAATTTAATTATTAAAAAACTACAAGGGACAGCCCTATGGGGTTGTACGCAATGGTGACGTAGGACTATATGGAATTATATAATAAATCTAATTTGTTAACTGCAGCAGGAATAGGAATTTGAGCGGGGTTCTCTCTGTCTATACACTTTAGTATGACACGCTTTACATAGATGGCCCACAGCGACTCACGAAGAACTACTGATTCCGATCAATAGCGGTGCGGCTTCTTCCTCCTTCTATGGATGCTCTTGTGGCCCATGTGGGCTGCAGCTCGCTGCTTGCAGGCAGCCTTTCGTTGTGTACTGGAGAACAATGTTCAGCGCCACGCGCCGAAAGCACTGCTGCTGCTGCTGATGCCGACGATCGGACACCAGCACACACGATTATTGGAACTGAATCCGATCAGCGGTTGAGGCCAGCCTTGATAGCTAACTGCTTGCGGGGAGCCTTTCGTTGTGTACTGGAGAACAACACCACCACTCACCACGTGGTGATTGAATAAACGTCGTTTGGTGAAACCAGATGGAAGTCAACTTTGAAATCTTTGTTAGGGAAATCGTTTTTCACAGGCAATCGGTGATAATTGTAATTATCATAGCAACAGTTGCATATTCGTGCAATTTTCAATAGTAGCATTTTGAAAAACGATAAAATCTTAAACTTACTTAAACAGATGCGAAGAAATATTTCTGATCGATTGGTGATAACATTATTGAAATTGGTCCAGGGGCAGCTGAGTTATTAACATTCAAAATCTTTCATAATTTTGTTACATGTTCCATTTTCGTTTTTCACAAAGTGTACCCACATATAGAAATCATAGACGAAAAAACATTGTCCAGATACACAATCACTTATATGACTAGTTTTGGAGTTATTGATTTCGTTCCGCTAGATTGCAGCAACCAATCATAAGTGTAAGATGCAGTTTTGCCCTGAAAGCAGTATATTAATCATGTCAGAAAGTTTCCGGCTTCGAAATCAATTAATAGCTCATTTCCTGACCCTTTAAAGTTTATATGGGAATTACTATGGGAAAGGTGAACTTTATGTTCTCAACGTCCTAGAACTTCACCATTATAAATTATGGAAAGCTTGCTATTTGTTCTTATGTAAAAATTTATCAGCTACAACTTTGCTCAAGACCACTTTTTGGTTAGATTTCAAAGTAATTTTTTATTATCCTGAATTAATCCATCTATGTTGAGATGTGACCCTTCATACTAATAGAAATTCCGACGACAGTGCTCGTAGATGAAATCTCATGTGATTTAAGGTATCGCATGTTGAATTTTGACTCTAGGCAGAAACTGGCCACCTGCCCGGAATATGTCTAGATGTGGCCAGTGTGATCCTGAGCACACTAAATGGCTACCATGGAGCTGGTTTTGAATTCCCATCTCATTTGATTATGTGTCACATGATGGGTTGTAAGGTACAAATCGGTTTTGGTAGATTGAGTTTGGTAAAGAGAGATGAAAAAAACCGATTTGTACCTTCCTTAAAAGTTGTCCTAGCTCGCTTGTCTAATATCTATATACAATCTTCACACTGCCGTACTCTAACGGAACTATCAACTCTATGCTTTCATCTACTCCATCTATCGTATAAAAATTACCACTACAGTATGTTATTTGAAATTAGCATCTTCAACTATGTAAATCGTTGACTTCACGTAGAAGTAATACTAAAAACATATAGTCAAAAAAAATTAAGCAATTTTTCTTATAACAATAGCAAAGAAAACATAGGTCCGTGGTAAAATTTGTTTTTCCAGCAAAAAGCATTTTAAAACTAATTATTCCTAGTAGGGAAACAGGAAGTAAAATGAACTATTGAAATTATTTAAATTATATGAATGTAAAGTTATTAAAAGCTAAAATATACAATGGTTGAAAGACCTCTACGTTGAATTGATTGATATTTGAAATAATACGCTCGTAAAATCTTCAATAAATTGTTGATTTCACTCCACTTCCCCTAACATTCACATTTCAGCGAAGGGTAATAACAAAAATCATTCAGATCGAAAAGTTTGAGCATTCATGTTTCTCCTTTACTTTACTTAAATATTTGGTTATTATTAGTTAGGTAGGCTCCGATTCTACACGTTGTAGTTTAATTTTTATCGATGTGATCTTGACATTTTTTTCCTAGGGGATGAGTACTTAAGGGGGTTAGGTTTTGGATAAGTCTTTAGTGGAAATGACATTGATGAAGACTGCACATCATAGTAAGTATTTCTCATGGATACCAAAATTAAATTAAGTGGAATTAAATTAAAGATAACCTTTGTTTGCTGTTTTATTTAAGCATTCCGCTAACAACCCAATTTCATTCTTCATCAAGTTGCTGTTTTACCATGTAGTCATATTAACAAATAAAACGATTGACAAATCTTGAATGTGGATGGGCCTAAGACTAATGATGTTTTGTTCAGTAAGCAAAAACGGTCGCTCTAAGGTCACCGAGCCCCTCATGTCGCATCATACCGTAGCTCGAGTTGTAATCATTTAAACTTGACACCGTCGACGACGACAAATTTCGTAAAATACACTATAAACAAGCGATTTGACCATAAATCTCTTTAACATGAAATGACCTGGGACCGCGTTTTTCAGCTCAGTAAGCAAGCTACTGCAACCGATAATCTTTCAAATCCAAAAACTAAAAGCTACAGCACTTGGGCCTTCATTAAGTTCCAGTTTCACGTGACGTTCAATGTTTCGCTTTGCTCTTTACGCATTGTTCAGGCTATCATAACAAGCTATGACCGACGTGACGATTGTTTAGGTCCAGCTATTCAAATGAAATTACGTTCGAAAGCAGTCAATAATGTATCCCAAACGGGATCAAGCGTAGAAATGGTCTCTAGTTCTGTGGAGAAAAAAACATTATCTTCCAAACCGAAGAAATGTTGAAAGTTTGATTCAAATCGGAAATGGTCGTGCAAGATTTTGGGTTTTTTCTGGCAGATTTCAAGTGATCTTTTCGTTCTCATCGTTCTACCCTTTTTCATAATAATTATGGGTCAGCTTTCTAGATATTCTTATGTGAAATTGAATCAGCTACAACTATGTTGAAGATCACTTTTTGATTGATCTTCAGGATAGTTATTAATTGATTTCGATGCCGATAATTTTCTAATATGATTAACTAGTGCATTGAGGTCATTTTTGGCCTGGAATCACAATTTTTCCCTAATATATTAGGGAGGCTAATCAACTGCATTCAAGGCATCTTACACAATAGCATAGTATGCCCAATTGTCAACCCCAAGTACACCAATGATATCTGCCGAGGAGCATGTCAGAAGAATATCATTAATTAATTAATAACTATTTATCCTGTCGTTCCATTAAAATTAGATCTTCAGCAAACTTGTAGCTGGGAAATTTTTACATGCGTTCATAAAGCAAACTTTCCGTTTACCAGTATGGCAAAGGGCTAGGACGATGAGTATAAAAAGTTGACTTTCCCATAGTAATTCCCGCACATAAACTTCAAAAGGCAAGTGCAGTACGAGTTTGCAACCAAATGAGCTCAAATGTTGAGAATATGATCAGGACCTGTTTTGAAATCGATTGAGTAGAGTGGAACAAAATTGATATTTTGAATCACCCTAATACATACTCAGAACGCAAAATTAAAAATTTACTAGATTTTGACCAATTTTGATAAAACAAGTTCCTTTTGATTTCAAATTAATCTAAGTTTTTTTTTTATTATAAATATGAAAAGTCCTGATATATTCTGATATTTCGAAATTTTGCCGAAATTCCGTAAACCGGTTCCGAGGTATCCGAATACGGTCAGGTCCATCCATCGGACCTTGGCATGATACCAACACGCTTGTGTATGAAAAATCATGCAGTTTTGATAGGTCAAACGGCACATTTAGGTGAATAAATGATAGGGTAGATTAGCCAGTTATGGCTATACGTTCCTATTATGATGTGTTGCAATTATAGCCTATGGTAATTCCATAGGCCATATTTGGGACACACCACAATATGAACATATAGCTATAACTGGTACACCTACCCTAGTGTCTCCATTGCTTGCATAAAAATCTGTTCCCATATTCGTTAACGTTAAACTAGATTAAGTAACTTAGTGGGCATCCTTTGCCTCACCTAACTCTACTATGAACATTTTTTGAACATGACCCAGACCACATAATACAACAACAACAAATCTAAAATCGCTTCCATTTTTTCCTCCTTCAGCCAAAACCGTGACATTGGAGCACAGAAGCTACCCCACCGCAGCAGTCACGTGGTACGCAACGGATCCCCAACCAGCACCACCAGCACCGTCGATACTACTGTCAACAGCACTATCCCAACGGCAGCAACGTCCAGCGCATCGCACCCGGATACCGCACCACCGCCGGCGGTCCCCATTCGGCAGCACTAGTACAAGCTATGACCACTAAGGTGGACGGCCCTGGTGGTCCTCGAAACAACGGCCACGAAATGGCACCGCTCAATACGCGAGCCCGCGGGGATGGCACCCATGGTGTCACCATCATGCTGTCCCCACCGGATCGAAACTCGGTCGGATCACGGGAGGGAGCCGGTCTCCCCGATGGCGATCCCGATCGGGCGGCCTGGTCTGGCAAGATGCAATTTTTCCTCAGTATTATCGGATACTCCGTCGGGTTGGGTAACATCTGGCGGTTTCCGTACCTGTGCCAGCAGAACGGTGGAGGTAAGTCATTATTCACTGCTATTCATTTTTTTTTTTCGAGTTTCCAATATGGGTTTGACACCGGATGGGATGTAGTTGAAGGAAAATCTTGGCAACGTTCCCCATCGCGATCGAACCATGCCACGCGGATAGAAGGAAACAACCCATTTTCTCAAGCCATCCGCCATCCGTAAGCGATGGGGGACAATTCCAAATAAGCAAGCAAATTTATTTAAGTCGAATTAATTGAAACTCACTTAATATATACCCATACACATACATACATAAACATCGTGTTTGTTGGCCCGGTGCCATCGAATATTCAATGGGAAAAAACCCCTCCAATTGGACCGGATGGGGGTCGGGGAAAATTCAGTAGAAAATCGAAATTTTCCACCCAAGCGGGCAGAATTTCGCCACAAACAGATTCCACCGCTTCCACAGTGCTTCTGGCTGGTTAGGGCTAATGGTCGGCAGGCTAGGTAACCGAGCCAAGTAGCATTTGGATACACGCGCGAAAATTGACGCTTTGATGGAAGCGAGGGTCGAGAAAGGAAGGAGATGGCGGAAATTGCTTTTAGATAAATGTATGCCGAAAATCGAATTAGGTGTTCCTGTCGTGCACCGGCGCTGGGTGGGATCGATGTAGCTGGTAAAGTAAAAAAAAAGTTGTGACAAATTGACAGGTTGTTGAGCCGTTCTGCGGTCGAAACCGAGGAATGGGAGATCCGCGAAAACTGTACCAAAGCGTAACGCCTAGTGTTTTGTAACAATTCGTTCCCGTTACTGTCACCTCATTTGACTGAACAGTGCAGTGACATTTGCTGTCGAAAAGATGATGAACAGGGGGAAATGAGTTTTTTGGCTTAGGAAAGTATGGAAAGAATGGTCCAATAACCGATAAACTAATAAATAAATAGATAGGGTACCGTATTTCACCGATTTCCAGATAGTTTGTCCATACATCCGGACACTTTTTAAAATTTAAGATCACATTCATTATGACATCTTATGGCATGTTTATACTCGATGGTCAAATTTGGGCGTGTGCTTGCTGCCAGGAAACTCATTCAAGCATAAAATGTCTACAATTATCGCACAGATATGCCGTCCCTCTAAACATATTTATATTTGCTCCACTTCTAAAGCATGCACTTATTCTACACATATGTATACTTCAAAAGTGGTTCCCCCGAATCGAACAACGAGCACAACTTGACCTAATTTTCATCAGCTTGGTCCGACAACCGTCGTCGTTCTAGACCGGTCCACACATACATCGAAATTTCGCTCAAAAAATGTCTCAATAAGCAGGAAAAGAACAATGGACCCGCATTTCTCCGAACTTGGCAGCTGCGGCCAGGCTCTAATGTAGGTTCTTGGTCAAGTTCAGCTCTGAAAAAGTTGAGCCTGGCGCCGACCGGGAGCCATGCGTCTCCATAGAAATCTACCGGGGTGTAGCTGGCGCGCAGTACCGACTAGATTCGAACCGGCTATAACCGAGAAAATCCAATCGATAGGACAACTAATAGATTTGCGATTGACTCTAATTGGAATTGATTGAAACTGATTCCCGGCCTTTCGTCGGAAGGTACTCTCACACGGTTGATTGAAGTGGCACTATCAGTTCGCGTTGACATTGATCAATGGACGGGTAGCAGCGCATATTATTGCTGGCAGGGGCATCTGTAACAAATTTCCTATTGTTATTAAAAGTAGTCGCGCACACCGGTCGGTACTCTACATTCCGTGCACTCGTGCAATATGCAAATAATTCAGATGTGAGTTATTACTGTCGTTTTTATGGTCCGTCCGTCTGCATTGGTCGGACCGACTGTCTATATGTAGAGACCGAGAGATAGCGTGTTCCCGGAGTAGGTATGAGTTTCTGTAGAAAATATGAAACCCAGCACTTTGCGGGCCAACCTTGGCTAGAAATGCGCAAGGTTGCGCTTTTCCAACCTGTGTTTGAATCTGAGGAAAAACGTAATAACGGTGTTATGGGATGTGATGTTTATGTGTACGGTGCAGGGGTTGTTACCACAGAAACCATCGAAGACTTATATTGCTCTATCCGTTCGTTAGTGTAATCTTCATGGACGTCGTATGTTTCACTTATAGCAACTTCGAAAGAGAAATTAAAGTTTGTGCTTTTCGTTATTTGTTTCGTTTTTATAAAGAAACTACATGCAATCTAATTTCGTCGTTTTTTTTCTTTCTTCAATTATCATGCATATTATTATTGCTATATTAGCTCAAAACTGGCTATGTTCTTTTTTTAGATTACACGAGCTTATGCTTGCTCTCGACTTAGTGTTCTTGGAAGCACTCAGAAAGTTATTGATTGAGTGCTTTCTTTACCAACCAGAGCCCTACGAAGTATAACGAGCGATAACTTGTCTGTTTTTCTCAATAGAATGGTGCTGAATATTCACAAAATTATTTTCGGGTTTGCATTCAGTGAGACTGGTTTTCATATTCTTTCAGTTTATCGCCTGATTCGTTCTACTACTGTCAGTTCTATTTTGTTAAAAAATTAACACTAGTTCAGCCAGCTTTTAGCACCCAGGAATAGCTATTTTACGGCATGCTTGAATGAATGAATCTACCTATAATTGATCCACTCGAAATCCGTTAAAATACTCTTTCTGCCAACACTCAAAAAATTTCAATTTTAATAAAAAAAACATTTAATTATGATAATTTTAAGTAATATTTCAAGTCGCTTTACCCTCTGGTTCAACTCAAGTGCCCTTAGAGGTTCATAGTGTTGAACTAGATTTAAATTTATACATAAATTTGTATAAATACAGATAGGACTCGATTATCGATAATTGACTGTGGACACTTCCATCACCGATTTCAAGCACACGACACTACCCCTTGGAATGTTAGTTTGAAGGGTCAGAAACAACCCCTACCAAAATTTGAAGCCATTTGGTTCAAATAAGGTGGTTCCCACAAGGGCTTGAAGTTTGTATGAGAAAAATCACCAAAATGTATGGGGGAATGAGACACTTTCACATGTTTGGTTCTAGGTGGTGCTGTCGGTATTCGATTTTATTGGTGTGACAAATTGAGAATTTTTGGACTATGGGGAACAACTTTGCAGAAGACCGGATGTCAATCCAAGATAACTGTTGATAGTTGACGCATTTTGTGCCAAATCGACAGCACGCCCTCAGATTTCAATTAAACTTTCTGGATGTGTGGAGACTATCATTTGAGAAGGGCAAAGCTTTTTTTGTCGGTTTTTGACGTAGAACTACTGCTTTGTCGACTATACTGGGGTACAGATCAAAAAATATGTGTGGTGAAATAGTGTTAGGTTTAACGCTTATAACTTTGTCATTTAGAGATGAAATTAAAATCCAAATACGCCAATCGATAGGATATTACTTAACAAATCTGCTGAAATGAATACTTTTCCAATTTTTAATCAAAAAACTTTTGAAAAATGCACAAATGATAATTTTATCCTTATTTTCATGAACTAAACTTTTCCCCCAAACCCAGTCATCATAAACTAACATCACATCATTCTGCTTGAACCTGAAAAGATATAAAACAGCGCTTTCCTGCCTCTGTTCATCACCACTTCGCACAGGGTGGCACTAGGTCATGCAGCAAGCATTTAAACATTTATGAACAGCCTCAAAAAAGACATGGATTTGCCGATCACTTTTTCAGCAGAATAATTTTGTTACACCACAAAATGTTCACACCGTTTTCAGCATTCGTTCAGGATCGTTTCGTTGCTACAGTTTCTAGTGCATGTGGTGTATCGAATAATCGATTTGTTTACATGCTATTTCCTTTGTACGTCGACATGTGAACATATGTTTTTCTCCATCGAATATTTACACGTGAGTCTAAAAACCAAAGCAACCCGCAAAACAAAAACCAAAATTTTCAAAACAATTGCTTAAGAGAAGACATACATGCGATGATATTATGTTGGTAAATTACCAACAACTGACTGTAAAACATATCTGGTACCTCTATATATGCAATTAGATTAACATCCAAAGTCCAGTCCAGGGGGCGACCCCGGCTTAGTGGTTAACATCCATACCTCTCACGCCAAAGTCACGAGTTCTAATCTCACCCCCGTACAAGTCACGAATGACCCAAGAGTGTTAAAGTGACTATAATAATTAAAAAAAAAATTCAAAGTCCATCCTTTTTTTTCCATATTCTGCACAAAAGATACGTTCTGCCCCGCCCCATTCATAATAATAAGTATAATAGACAAAAATGCATGACAAACATCAATTTTCCGTGGTCTACGTCATAAAGCGGTCGTGTCTAGGACACTTCTCATTCTTATTCGCATTTCAAGCTTACTGCTTAGTGCATATTAGCTTATTGCGTGCTCTCAACTTAGTGTTCTAAATGCTCATCCTCATTTATTGATTGAGAGCTCTCGATGCCAATACCAATGCATGAATTCGTATATTGTGTAGCAAGCAAGATTATCAACTCAATGCCCAAGGAAGTCGAGAAAATTTCCAACCCAAAAGATTCCCTAGACCGGACCGGGAATCAAACCCGCCGCCTCCGGCTTGGTAATACCTTGCATTTACTGACTAGGCTATGAGACCCCGTCTAGGACACAACTCTTTAATTTGTTTTCAAAAAAATATGATGAAAAAATGACAAATCCTACAAAAAAGTGTTGTTTGGGTGACTTTTAAGAAATTGTCCAAGTTTTTCTGAAAAAAAATCCATTTGAGATATACACAGATTTTTTTAAAAGTCGTTTAAAAAAGAATGGCCATTGGTGATTTGGAAGAAATTTTGTGTCAAGATAGTTAATAATATTTACTACCAACCGTACATACATCGCGAGTTAAGCACTTTTAAGCAAAAACAGGTTTTCCAACAAAAACTTTTTCATGCCTGATCTGAAATTGTTTTTAACGCTTTTTTTTTTTTCATACAAAACTAAACTAGTGAAGGTCATAATCATCTCATAATCCAATGAAGCTCAATTTGTGACTCAATTTGTAGACCTTGTC